ATGTATATGAAGCAACTAATTATAGCAGGAGATGACAAAAGATCACAAACATCAAGAGATAGACTTTGATGTTAAATAAAACATTGGATTAGACAGAGTTAAAAGATGGACTTAATATACATTTACAGAGAATTTACAAAAGAAATGAATATACATTCTTTCAAGTACACATGGAACCTTCTTAAGGCTCTATCTTACTTATACTGGGGCACAAAACGTTTAAAATTACATCAAAGCTGAAATTATATCAAACATTTTTTCTGTTCATAACATGATAAAGCTTAGATGTCAACCACAAAAAGAAACCTTGAAAAAAACCCAAACATATGGAAACTAAACAAATACTTCTGAATAACATCTAAGTCAATGAAGATAGCAAAGGAGAAACAGAAAAATACAAGGAGACAAATAAAAACAAAGAGACAACCAGATTCTATGGATGCTCTAAAAGTGGTATTAAAAGAGATGTACAGGGGCCTCCCTGGTGGCGCAGAGGTTAAAGTTGCAGTGCTATCAAGCTATCACCAGCCACTGCTGCTCAATTTTAATCCTCAGCCAGGTTGCTAACTCACATGTCAACAGCAGACTTCTCCTATCTTGCCTGTTGTGACTCCCCTGAGCAGTATATTTCAGTAAATCTGCCAGTTTTGCTCCCCACTCTGTCTCTGGTGAATCCTCTCACCTGTCCCTCCTACCCATCCCCCCATTTCTTGCCTAGACCCCAGGTTCTTATATACATAAATAAATCTTTAAAAAATCAAAGGGAGGCCCTCCCTGGTGGCACAGCTGGTTAAAACACAGTACTAAAAAGCTAATAAAGGCACTTCAGCATTAGTTGATCCCCGCCTGCCCCGGAGGTGACCCGCCTGCCCCGGAGGTGACCCACGTGCCACTGTAGACTTCTCCTGACCAGCCCCCTGTTCCCCTCAGCAATGTACTTCAAAGAGTTGCCTGTTCTGCTCCCCACTCTGCCTCTGGTGAATCCTCTCACCGCCCCTTCACCTATGACCTATACCCCAGTCTGTATGCACAAATAAATAAATCTTAAAAAAAAAAAAAAAATCAAAGGGAAATACAAAGCAATACAGCCTACATCAATAAACAAAACTCTTAAACAATCTAATATCACATCTGAAGGAGGCAGAAAAAGAATAAGAGACCAAATATCAGTAGAAAGAAGGAAGTTAAAATTAGAGCATAAATAAATGAAACTGAAACCAAAAAGACAACATAAAAGATCAATGAAACCAAGAGCTGGTTCTTGAAAAGGATTAACAAAATAGATAAATCATTAGCAAGGGCCATTAAGAAGAATGTAAGCTCAAATAAAAAGAATCAATCAGAAACAAAAGTGGCAAAAATTACAATGCTGAAACACAAAAGATCATAAAAGACTTTCATTCTTATAAGTACACATGTAACCTTCTTAAGGATAGACCTTATGCTCGGCCACAAAACATGTAAGACTTCTCAAAAGAGACTTCTATGAATATCTATTTGCAAATAAACAGGACAATCTAGAAGAAATTGGCAAAGTTTTAGATTCATACAGCCTTCTAAGACTAAACCAGAATGAAAGAGTTTGAACAGATCAAATACAAAAATTGAAGAGTAATCAAGAGGCTCCCTAAAGACAAGCGTCCAGGACCAGATGACTTCACCAGTGAATTCTACCAAATGTTCAAAGAAGACCTAATATCTATCCTCCTTAAACTCTCTCAAAAATGTTAAAGGGGGTAAAACAGAATTCAATAGACCGATCCTAAAACCAAAAGAAAACTATTGATAGTTTTGATGAAAACAAATATCAAAATTATGGCAAATACATTAAGGATTTTATTCAGAAAATCATTCACCATGACCAACTGTGTTTTCTTTTTTAAAGATTTATTTACTTATACATATTTACTTATTCACCATGACCAACTGTGTTTTCTTTTTTAAAGATTTATTTACTTATACATACAAGAACTGGGGTATAGGCCAGAGGTATGTATGTGTGTGGGGGGTGGGTGGGGGGTGGTGATGAGATGATTTACCAGAGACAGAGTGGGGAATATATTTCCGGCAGAATGACTGAAATACACTGCAGGGAGGAACAGGGGTAGGGACATGAGAGGTCTGCCTCACCATGTCGGTCACCTCCCTGGCCAGGGAACAAACTCGTGGGCAGTAGCTTCATTGGTGCTGTGCTTTAACCCACTGTACCACCAGGGAGGACCCGCTAAATGGGCTTTAATACAGTTCAACATATGCATATCAATCAGTCATTCATCACATCAACAAAAAAAAGATAAAAATCACATCTTCATCTTGGGAAGCATTTGAAAAGACTCAATGCCCAATTATGATTAAAAAAAAAATCAGTGAAATGGAAATAAACGGAATATATCTTTAACATAATAAAGACTGTGACAAGTCCAGAGAAACATCATACTCAGGTGAAAAACTGAAAGTACTTCCCCTAAGACTAGGAATAAGACTAGAAACCACTATTGTTCAACATAGTACTGGAAGTCCTAGCTAGAGCAATCAGTCAGGAAAAAGACATAAAACACCCAAACTGGATAAGAAGTGAAACTATTCTTGTTTGTAGATGACATAATAATACATAGGAAAACCAAAAAAATTACTAGAATAAATGAATACAGTAAAATGGTAGGAAACAAAACCAAACACAAAAATCTCCTGTATTCTTAAATAAAACAGATGAAAGAGGAATCAAAGCAATTCTATTAAAAACTAATTAAGTAAAAGTAAAGAAACTGTATCATGCAAATATAAGACAATGTCAAAGGAAATAAAATGACATAAAGAATTGGAAAGATATCCCATGTTCATGGACTGGAAGAATAAACACTGTTAAAATAACCATGTTTCCTGGCAGCAGCCCAAATGCCCAAAAGTAGATGACTGGATAAAAAAGATGTGGTACATATACACAATGGGGTATTTACTCAGCAACCAAAAAAAAAAAACACATGTCTTGCAGCAACTAGGATGGAGCTGGAAAAGATCATGCTTAGTGAGATAAGCCAGAAAGAAAAAGAAAAATACCAGACGGCTTTGCTCATAGCAGGAGTATAATGGACCAAGTGAGAAAATAATAAGAATACTGAACAGCCATATACCAGAGACTTTTTGTGGGGGTGGAGTGGGGAATGGGATAAAAAATGAGGGGGGTGGAGAGAAGTGGACTGGACTATGGTGATGGCACATGGGTGACTCAGGGATGGGAAACCCACGGGGATTACAATTGAGATGAAAAAAAATGTACAAAATGATGTAAAAATAAACTATTATATTATAAAAATATAATATATAATAAAAAAAATATATATCTATATATAGATACATAAAAAGACCATGTTTCCTAAAGCAATTTTGAGATTTACCACATTTACCACTATTAAAATCACAATGACATTCTTTAAGGAAATAGAACAAACAAAAATAAAATTTGCAGGGAATCACAAAAGACCCAGAATAGCCAGAGCAATCCTGAGAGAAAAAAAAAGATAAAGAAAGGCATTCTACTTCCTGATATCTATACTAGACTAAACAGAGATAGTGATCAAAACTGTATAGTAATGGAACAAAGACCATAGGTTTAGAATAGAGAGTCCAAAAATAAACACATGCAAATATGGATAGTTGATCTTTGACAAAGGAGTCACAATCACACATTGGAAAGAAAGTCTCTTCTAGGGCCCTCCCTGGTGGCACAGTAGGTTAAAGCACAGCACTAACAAGCTAAAGCTACTTCAGCATGAGTTCTATCCACGCTCTGGAGATGACTCACACATGCGGCAGACCTCTCCTGACCCGCCCTCTGTTCCCCTCAGCAGAGTATTTCATCAGTCAGCCTGTTCTGCTCCCCACTCTGTCTCTGGTGAATCCTCTCACCACCCCTGCATCCTTGCATCTCAGGCCTGTATCCCAGTTCTGTATGCACAAATAAATAAATCTTAAAAAAAAAAAAAAAAAAGAAAGAAAAAGGTGATACATTCCTAGACATTAATCACAAAGACATATTTGGCAATGTATCTCCAAAAACAAAGGTAACATAACATAATTAAAAGCAAACAAATAACTACATCAAACTAAAAAGCTCTTGTACTTCAAAGTAAACCACCACAAAAGCAAAAAAGGTAATGTATGAATTTGGTAAAGATAGTTGTACACCGCACATGTGACAAAGGGTTAGTTAATTTCCAAAATATATAAAGACCACAGATGATTCAACTACAATATAATAACAACAGAAACAAAAGCAGACAAAAGAACTATATAGACACTTCACCTAAGAAAATATCAAGATGACCCATGACCCACAGGCACATGATAAATGTTCAACATCATGTGAAAATATTTATCAAAACTACGATAAGATACTATCTCACCCTTCTAAGAATGACCTATAACAAAAATACTGAAAACAACAAATGTTGATGAGGATGTGGAGAAAAAAACAACAACAAACTATTCATGGGAATAAAATTGTTGCAGCCTTTAAGAAAATGTTATGGAGCTGCCTCAAAAAACAGAAAATACCCTATGATAAACAATACTACTTTATAGCTACTTACCTAAAGAATAGGAAAGTACCAATACAAAAAGACTTATGCATTCCTGTATTCATAGCAGCATTCATTACTCACAACAGCTAAATCATGGAACAAACCTATATGTACATTCAGAGATTACCGAATTTAAAAAATTACCGAATTTATATTCAACAGAATACTTCGCGGCTATCAAAAAAGATTAAATAGTATTATTCTTTGGGACAAAATGAATGGATCTTGAGGTGATTTGCTAAGTGAAGTAAGTCAGAAAATAAAAGCCAATTACCAGATGGTCTACTCATTTGCAGAATATAAAAAACAAAGCGAGGAAAGAGACAAAACAACAAGAATTTTTGGATCCTAGGAATAATACTGCTGACCAGAAAAAATGGGAGGAAAGGAAGGAGATGGGAAAGGAAGATGGTAGGGTTGTGCCAGCCTAGGTGGAGGATGAGTGAGACATGCATTCAAATGAGATGTTAAGTTGCAAACCCCAAATCAGTTATATAAATGAGGGCATACCATAAAACTTAATAAAACTTAAACCCGTAATTTATAAGTGTCATTTCTGGAAAATTCAAACACCAAGAGAATGTGATATATAATCAATATTTATTCATATTCCCTTTATTCAAAAACTAAAAGCTAAAATTTGGCTGTATTTGGTGCATTGCATTTATTAAAAAAAAAAAATTTAAATGAGCGATTTAACTGAGAATGTAGACATCTGTATTTCTCTTTTCAGTTCCTGGGATACAGGAACATGCCCACTGATAACACTGATTTGGATACTGTCCAAGCCAGGCTGCACCACCACTGACTGCCTATCAGCAGCAAGTGTGTTGTAATCTGGCATACAGTAAAGATCAGAGAGTAAGTGGAAAGATGCCAGTCAGAACATAAGAATACCAGGAAAATGAGAAAAAAATTATCATATGGGGCAAAAAAAATCAGCAAATGATTTAACTGGAAAACATTTATCTTTCTTATTCTATTAATTAATTGATTAATCAATTTAATTACTTTCTTATTAATAACATTCCTAAGCATACTGTTTTCTTTTTCAGGTACAAGAAATCATGTAATTTCTAAAGTTTAACCCTTCAACTGGTCTTTTAAAAGCTGCAAATCTTAAGACATGGCTTAAAAAAAAAAAATCAAACTGCTAATATTTTACTTATGAGGCATATGTTACATATAAGCAAATATATTGTGTATATTACTCATCAGTCACATAAACATAGTATATTTAAGATATCAGCGTTACTAATTTAGCCATTTGAATCACTAACCTAATTTTAGGTCTGTCTCCATCTTTCTGGGCCCTTGAATTTTCTTCATGTTGCTGGAGCTGCCTGAGGAGCTCGGACTTGGTCTTTTGCTTGTCAAAAGGGAGAGAATCTGCTACAGCAGATGCAGCAGCCACCAATTCAGGACTCAGAGACTCACTAATGAAAAACAAAATGAGAAGGGACAGAAAGGCACTACTTACTCTGATTGCATGATACATCCAGTTGCAGAAAAGAAATCCTGAAGAGTGGAAAGATATTGAATAGACACACAAATTGACATACTTTTTGGCAAGCAATTTGGTGACAGACATTAAGCAAATCCTTTACAGACTAACTTCCCTTCCAGGAATAGATGTGTAAACAAAATCAGAGGGGCCTCCCTGGTGGCACAAGGGGTTAAGTCTCAGCACTTTGAAGCTGTCAGCAACCACTGTGGCACAAGTTCAATCCCCAGCCAGGTAACAGACCTATATGGCGCAGCAGAACTCTCCTGTCTCACCTACTGCTCTCTTCAGCAGTGTATTTCAGTCATATCACCTGTTCTGCACCTCACTTGGTCTCTGGTGAATCTTCTCACCAACCCTGGCCTACACTCCAGTTCTTGTATGCATAAATAAATCTTAAAAAAAAAGAAAACAGATAAGTGGATTTGAGGTATACATCATTATTATGGATCATTAAAACCAAACACTGCCACTTAGACTACAACACAATGCTAAAATATCACTACTTCCACTTGAAATTAGGGAAAGACTCTTTGACAAACACAAGTAATTAAAATATTTTGAGGAAATCATGTAAGCTGTGAGCACTGGCCAAAGGCAGTTATATTAAAAAGCTATAATTGGCCCTCCCTGGTGGCGCAGTGGGTTAAAGCACTGCACTGAGAAGCTAAAGCCACTTCCGCATGAGTTCAATACCCGCCTGCCCCCGGAGGTGACCACATGGTGCGGCAGACCTCTCCTGACCGGCCCGCTGCTCCCCTCAACAGTGTGCTTCGTCAGTCATCCTGCTCTGCTCCCCACTCTGTCTATGGTGAAGCCTCTCACCGCCCCTGAGCCTCTGGCCTGTACCCCAGTTCTGCACAAATAAATAAATCTTAAAACAAACAAAAAAAAAGCTATAATCAAGATGCTAAAATTTTATCCTAAATGGATTTCAAATTAACAACTTGTTAATTAACAGCTTAAAGAGTCATGGGAAATGGAAATGGCAGTGACACAGATGAGAATGTAGAGTGTAAGAGAATGTATAGACTGCTAAGATCACTACTCTCTTCCCCTATTTAGATTGTAGACAGGTATTGCTTGTTATTTAAATATAGAACCATAACAGCATTTTCAAAGTACCATTAAAGTCTGTTACAAAGTGATACCAGTCTTTGTTAACAAAGTATTTCTGCCCTTACCCTCCCCCCACCCCAAAACAAGAGTATTTTCCAAGTATATTCTAATTTCAAAAAATAAAGCTTACTAGAGTTTCAAAAATTACTTAAAATATTCAAATTGCCATTCAATTTACCTCTTCTCTAGGGCATCTTCCGTTGCTTTTTGAGATTTGCTAGCTGTAGCTTCCCAACTTTTAAGTGGTCTTCTGCCTGGTGGCTTTGTTGTTTGTACATTTGCTGTGCTTAATTCAACTTTCATGCCCTTAATAATATCTAACAAGTCTTTTTTCTTTTTTTCCTTTATACTGTCTTGGCTCTCTGTCTCCTTGGCAATCTCCTGGGTTGGAACAGACTGTTCATCTTTCTTGCTATAGATCACACTGTTGGTACCAAAATATCTGCAGCTATTATTTTCTGCCCTAAAAAAGACATATTAAAAATTAAATTATAAACACAATGCAAAAGAAAGGACTTAATGCTCAATGTATTACAAATTTTCAATACAAGTTCTTCCTATTTGCTTTTTTGGGAGTCTATAATTTTAGTTTTTAAAATTGGTTTACAATGCTGTACAGGATTAGAGATTAATTATATTAGAGTATATATACCTCTAGAGCATGTCATCACACAGCTCCCACCACCAAGCTACTCACGGTCCTCTGGGCATCCTTTTACATCTTGCTTTACATTAGCTTTTGATATTTGTCATTCTCATCAACAATTTAACATTTACAAAACATATACTATGTGCCTCATGTTGTGTAGTTTATTTATATTTTGTCATACCCACATCAATTGCATAAGATCACTATTATCTCCATTTTGCGGAAAAGGAAATGGGAAACCAGAGAAATGGAGTGAGCCACCGAGAGATCTGTAGCTGAGAGCTGTCTAAGGACTGACACACTGGGATGCCATGAACAGATTACTGGTGTCTAAGATACAAGCCACCTGGGGCTTGGGGCAGAGGCTCAGGGCTGCTGGTGTTCCTGCATGTTACCTCCCTCCATTTACTTCAAGAATTGGCAAAAGTATAATTTTTATGTGTTTCATGACATTAAAAAAAAAAGTTGTAAAACATAGTGTAGGGTAAATGGAGTAATTTGGATTTTTCCACCCTCCCCACCATTAACATTACTGATTGACACCTGTGATCTTGCACGTGTGTCTGATGGCAGCACCTGGAGTATGGCATGGGGGTGGGGGTACACATCAGTGGGCTCACCTGAGCCTAATGCTGAGCATTTAAGGGGGCCAAACAGAGACCCAGTCAGCAAAGAACCCTGCAGCGGGGTGCAGTAGAGACCAACAGTCTCCTGGCCTCCCTGCCTGCCCTGCACCAGGCTGCCTCACTAAAAATGGATTAGGAGGTTCACTACAAGCCTGAAAAGGCCACCAAGGGCTCCAGGACTCTCTTTTACCCCTCCGCCTGGATCACAGAGAATCTGCTCTGTGCCTTGCTGACACTATACATAGTTAGTATATTTTAATTTATTGTTCTCAAACCCAAATCGATGGTTGCCAATTCATTAATGACATATAATACCTTTATGAAAAGTCATAATTAAGCAATATAAAAGTAATTTCAGGGCCTCCCTGGTGGGGCAGTGGGTTAAAACACAACACTAAGAAGCTAAAGCCACTTCAGTATGAGTTGGATCCCCACTCCAGAGGTGATACACAGAGCGCGAGGCAGACCTCTCCTGACCAGCCCGCTACTCCCCTCTGCAGTGTACTTCATCAGTCGGTCTGTTCTGCTCCCCACTCTGTCTCTGGTGAATCCTCTCACCACCCTTGCACCGCTGGCCTGTACCCTAGTTCTGTATGCATAAATAAATAAATCCTTTTTAAAAAAAAGTAATTTCCATCACTAAAAATGTGCTACTTACTTAAAAAAAATCCTGGTGTTTTCTAATTGATCAACTTTCTCATTGAGCCAGTTAACCAATTACTGTTTGATTAGTTTGATCCTCAAGCTCCAGGGAGCTAAGGCACATAATACAGCAGACAGACCTCCCCTCAGCAGTGTATTTCAGTTAATACCCCTGTTCTGCTCCCCACCCCACACCTCTGGCCTACACCCAGCTCTTGTATGCATAAATGCATACACAAACAAAAAGCAAATAGAAGGAATATCACATACACCATTACTTCAGTGTTTCCTTTCAGGACTGCTATAGTACCACTGGAAATCATCTGTATTTACTACAGGAAAATCCTGCATAGGAAATAACTCTAGCTCTAACTTTCCACCTAAGCTGGTGTCTACTGGGAGTCTCACTGCCACTCAAAAGTGCAATACTCTAAAACCATACTCAAGAGCTCCCTTCTCAGACTCACTTTCCATTTTTCATCCCTAAGTATTGAACAGGCCTCTAGCCACTGATATTTCTGGAAACCATGACACATTCTAAAAGCTTGAAATAATCTAGGAACACGAAATTCTCAAAGCTGCTCCTCTTCTGTTAACATTAATGGTTCACTAATCTTTCAAGGTAATAAGTCGAAATCTCTGTTCTGTCTTTCCCTAATCTCATCACGAGGTACATCCTTTCAATTCCACTTGTGCAATTATTCTCCTTTCGGCTACTTCTTCCCATCTTACCTCTACTAACCTGTGTCAGGGCTGTCCTTAACCAGATTGGCCCCAAATAGTGCAGGATGGAATATATAAAGAACTAAGTTTTCATAATCATGAAAGTTCTCAGATAATAAACATTAACACCAAATACACCTCACTCCTTGTGTGGCTTGAACAGCTAGCTCCCCTGATCCCCCTTTTAAGGTTTTCCCACTTCTTTTCCAGAGCGAGTATCATGGACCTCTCCTACAATGGTTGAATCCCCCATTTGCTCACACAGCAGTTACTTGTTGAGTAAGATTTACACAATCTCCGTCTCTGCTATTACTCTATTCGAATTGCCAATACGAATGGAACTGTAAACTACAATGATAGCAGGAGTGTTGTTTCATATTAACACAAGTATGGGCACATTGTAGGCACTTTCAACGATGAACTAAAGAACAAACGGAGGTAGTGAATGAGACCATCATTCGTGGTGGCAAAAAATAAAATAACACCAGTTCGCTTCCTAAAATTAGAAAAAACGTAGTGGCGAGAAGGATGGGGAGCAGTACAGTCGTAGAAAGAACACAAGGCAGCCCGCTAGCAAGGGACTGTGGCTGTTTTCGCACGCGCTCTATGACCTTGGACAAGTCACAGCCTCTTTCTGAGACTTCCCTTTTCCCAGATTTAACGCAACGGCTCCTGACAGTCCATGGGTGATATCACAGACCCCAGGAAACCCGAGAATGGTGACTGAATGTCTCGGTGAGGGCAGTAGGAAGAGGGGGCGTCTTAAGTCTGCGGGGTTGCCAACAGCACTGAAATGAGGTACCTGACGGGTCTGTGCGGAGCCGGGAGTAGCACAATCGCAGCTGCCGATACATCTGGGCATCCCGAGCACAAAGGGACACGGGAAAGGGGGCGAAGCTGTAGGATCACGGTCACTCTCGTAAACATTACGGAGAAACACACTAAAAGGAGAACAAACGGAGAATAGTACGTCCTCTGCCAAACACGTCCCCCGATCCTCTTCCGCTCGTCTGAAGCGTTCCTTTCTCTTCCCGTTCCGGTGGACAACAGGGGCGGATAACTGAGTTCCGGTCTCGCCCGCGGACTTGGCAGAGCCTGCTGCCTCCAGGCGACTCAGCCTTCCTGGGCGATTTCATTAGCCGTGGTGGTAAGGGACACTGAGTCCAGAGGTGTGTTGGCTGAGACCGGTTCCTGATTTAAGAGTTGGGAGAGGAGGTAGTGATAAACTGCAAACATTGAAGAGGGGCCACTAAGTTGAGAACTGACCCTACTTTGTCACGTTTCGGGGGGAGAAAATCCACAGCTTTCATGATAGTCTCAAAATGATCCATGATCACTGAAGGAGAACAAATTTGTCACACGAAAAATATTTCTCGGTGGCAAAAGAATTACTTTAAGCTGCTTATTTTTTAAACAAAGCACATAGGAAAAACTGAAACTTGAGCAGAAGTTACTCCTTACACACATAATGTAAGACATTTACATGTACAAAGGGAAAATCTCCATTTGTAAGGGTGACTCCCTCCATGTTCCAGGAAGAGACACATCAGTGTCTACAAAGAATATGAGCTTAACGTGGTAGACTGGGGAGAATTTAGCAAAGTTGTTAAAATTCCTCTCTGTATCCCATTGTTTCGGCATGGTCCAGCGAACATTTCTTTACCGAATATTTGCATATCCCATCTTCCTGTAAATTGTTTTCCTTCCCTTTGAAATCCTAGACCCCAAATCCCAACATTCTTCTTTTGTCTTTAACTAAAAATGTTTAAGGTGATGATCTGAGTCATTTCAATGAGTGCCTCGGTTTTTCTGGGTCTCTCCCAGCCATATGGGGGTATAGGAGTTAATAAACTCTTGTTACCACCTGTTTTTTCCCCCTTTAAAAAACTGTAATAGTTTATTTCTACGTCATGCTGTGCCTTTTTCCATCTCAGCACTTTTTTTTTTAATTGCAGATTGTGCTTCAGCCAAAAACTTAAGAGTAAAAGGGAAGTTATTTTTCTTTCTCTACACCATCTCGCAGATTATTTATTTTATTTTTACCATAGGATGTGCTATTTTATCAACTAGTATTTCTTTTCAGTCTTTGTTATTGATGTAGAGTGAAAGCATGAAACATATGTTTCATTCTTCAAAGATGTCTCTAGATTAAAAAAAAAAAAGCAAAAGAAAGAATTAACTTTTTCCTGCCCTTCATGAAGTCAGTGAGAAGTGTCCTAATCAAAAGATAAAGGATTCTGAAACCAGAGTACCAAAAGAGAAATGCCTGCTAGTATGTCACATGGGAACTTTTAACTTAGAATTTCATATTGTCCTTTGAAAGTTAGCATCAATGCTTGCCCTGTTTCAAAACAGTATCAAGATCAATGATGAATTGTTTTTTGGTGCTCAAAATAAATACAACTTATTGTGATCTTACTAAGACCCACTAGCTCTAATAAAAACTTTGTGATGTAGGGATGCTTTCCTTTTTTTTTTTTAATAAAATTGTCTAAAAATTATTTAGATAATTTAAATCCAGAAAAGTGCATGGATCATAACAATGTTGGTGAAACATGCTTACTGAATAGTCAGTTAATTTGCTTTTGTAGGCAACCGTCCATATTAAGACTAGACTATTACAGTTTTGCATTCTTATTTTGACATCATTTGATATCCGATGGAAAATCCTTCCTTGAGTTTCTAATAAACAGTCCATCAACACCACATTTAATAATTTTTCCTTTTCCAAGTTCTTATATCCTTCAAGTAGCATTTTTTAGTAAACTGAAACTTCCATCTTAAATTCAGTTTCTCTGGGAGGAGATCCTGTCCCAATTATCCTGATCCTAGTCAACTCAAAGGCATTACAGACCCTATAAATCATCAATCATCTCCCCAATGAATAAAGACAAGTAACATGTGGAAAGAGAAATTGTGGGAAGAGAGAAAATTTACCCCTATCTCTCTGGGTTCTTCTCAACTTCATCAAAAATTCAAGTTACTGTCAGACAGATTAGTAGGGGGAAAAATTAATTACATATATATGGAGATGCTACATGAATGTGAAAACTAAAGCCAATGAGGCAAAATTAGGGAATGGGATAGAGATCTGAGGTTTCAAGGGAAAATGAAAGGGATTTATATTATGAGGAGAGGGTGACTCATGACAAAGACCAGCTGCTTTGATAGCAACATTATGTCTGGAAAACACTTAATTCTGGGTAGTAACAAATTTTCGTTTTGCTAGTTAGTTAGTTAAGGGAAGGCTAAAGTTGTCATAAATCTGTAGGGTCCACACTGAACTCAGTTCAAAATAATCTACATGCCAAAATGACATATCTTAGAAAATCCTGTTCTGGACAAGTTGGGGAAGACTCTGAGGACATATTGGCCTCTAAGGACATAAGGCCTCTATCCTTCTTCAACAAGTTTTGCTTTCAGTGAGGTTGCCCAACTGAGGGTTACAAGTGGGGGCTGAAATTTAGCCTTGCTCACTATATCTCTCTTCTACTATTTATAAAAGAAACTAAACTTTGACTAGTCTTGTTATACTCTCCGGCAGGGATTACTCTTGTTCACAAATATCTGTTTTCTTCCCCTGTACTTTTAATTGAATATAGGACGTCAGCAGTAGAGACTGTACTTCCCAGCTTTCCTTGCAGATAATACGTTGGCATCTTAGAATCAGCAGAATGTGAACAGAAGCAATATGCCCTTAAGAAAAAAATGGGCACTCTGATAAAGGAGTCTCAGTCATGCAGCAGGAAAAGGAGACTCCTTAAAACACAAAGTGCTGGCAGGCCCTCCCTGGTGGCACAACAGGTTAAAGCACAACACTGTGAGGCTCTCAGAAGCCACTGCAGCACAAGTCTATCCCCATCAGGGAGGTGACCCACATGATGTGGAGACTCTCTTACCCCACTCACTGTTCCCCTCAGCAGTGTATTTCAGTCCATTTGCCTGTTCTGCTCCCCACTCTGTCTCTGGTGAATCCTCTCACCCATCACACCTCTGGCCTGTACCCCAGTTCTGTAAGCATAAATAAATAAATCTTAAAAAAAAAAAAAAGCAAAAAGCAAAAACACAGCACTGGGAAAACTGGATGGCTATACTTTTTAAAAGAATGAAGGTGAATCACTAATTCTACCCACAAAAATAAATTCCAAGTGGATTAAAGATTTAGATACACAATCTGTAACAGTAAAATACATAGAAGAAAACATTGAAACATTTCATAATCATCAATGATAAAGACATTCTTAGCGGCTCAAGGAGAACAAAAGCAAAAATTAACAACTTGTATTATCTCAAATTAAAAAGTGCTTACACCGTAAAAGAAAATTATATAGATTAAAAAGATATCCCACTGAATTGGAGAAAATATTTACACATTATACAACCAACAAGAGGTTATTATCCATGCTACATTTAAAAAATGTATTATTTATTTTTTTATAATTTTTTTTTAAATTTATTCATACAAGCACTGGGGTGTAGGCCAGAGGTAGGGAGGTGAGAGGATTCACCAGAGACAGAGTGGGGAGCAGGACAGGTGGATCTACTGAAGCACACTGCTGAGGGGAGAAGAAGGCAAGTCAGGAGAGGTCTTGGCATTATGTGGGTCACCTCTCTGCCTAGGAATGGAACTTGTGCTGCTGTGGTTGTGATAGCTTCACAGTGCCATGCTTTAACCCCTTGTGCAATCACGTATGACTAAAATTTATATAATTTATAATAAAAACCCAAACTGTCCAATAACAAGTGGGGAATAGATCTGAACAGATAATTTGCCAGAGAGGATCTCTAAATAGCCAATAGGCACACGAAGAAATGTTCATCATTGCTTTTAATAAGGGAGATTCAGGTAAAAACCACAATGAGATACTTTCTCACATTTGTGAGAAATGCACACATTTAAAAGGACCCCACAAGTACTGGAGATGATGCAAAAAAAAGAAACACCTTACTACACTAATGGTGAGAATGTAAACTAGTGCAACCATTTTTGAAAGTGATTTGAATTCAGCTTAAAAACTAAAAATGGGGGCTCTCCCTGGTGGCACAGTGGGTTAAAGCACAGCACTAAGAAGCTAAAGCCTCTTCAGCATGAGTTCAATCCCGGTCCGGAGGTGATCCATGTGGCGCTGCAGACCTCTCCTGACCCGCCAGCTGCTCCTCTGAGCTGTGTACTTTGTCAGTAGGCCTGTTCTGTTCCGCACTGTTTCTGGTGAAGCCTCTTATTGCCCCTGCACCTCTAGCTTGCGCCCCAGTTCTGTATGCATAAATAAATGAATACATCTTTTTTAAAAACTAAAAATGGGATACCATATGACTCAGCAATCCCATCTTTGGCTCTCTCCAAAGAACATGAAACTATAAACTAAAAAAATTCTATAATCTACAGTGTTTATTGCAACATGATTTATAATAGCTAGGACAGGGACAAAACCTAAGTGTCCCAATGATAGAGAATTGGATTCCACACAACAATACTGCTCAACCATAATGAAAGGCGAAAGCTTGTCATTACAGCAGAGAAAGGAGTTTGAGGAAATTATGTGCAATACAGCAAGTCAAATGACATAAGACAACTATTGAACATTTAAAAATGCTTATAATAACTAGTGGATACTAATCAATGAAGTAAGGCTTTGATGTTAAAAGGAAGTGAAGAACAGGTTAGAGGGATAAAAGGGGTTGGGGGGGAGAAAGTTTATCAGTTCTTTTTTTTTTTTTAACCATTAAGAGAGTAACACCTGCCCTATCTTTTTTACACAGTAAACTAAACATAAAAACACTCATTCCCGGCCCTCCCTGGTGGCACAGTGGGTTAAAACACAACACTGAGAAGCTAAAGCCACTTCCACTTGAGTTAGATCCCCGCCTGCCCAGAAGGTGACCACATGGTGTGGCAGACCTCTCTTGACCTGCCTGCTGCTCCCCTCAGCAATGTACTTTGTCCATCTGCCTGTTCTGCTCCCCACTCTGTCTCTGGTGAATCCTCTC